CCCCCCCCCCCACCTCCAGGCATAGCTGTGTGTAATGAGGCCGTATTTGAATGACAGCACATACAGTTGTGTGAACTTTGTTAGGAGAGGCTGTGCTTGTTCTATTGGGTGAAGTTGGAGTTATACTGAATGAATGGTTTGTATGGCTCTAGAAGACTAGAAGACAGTCATGTGAATTAAAGCAGAAGAAGGTTTAAGCTCACATCAGCTTCGGATAAGCAGTTGGGGAACTGCTGGCAGCACTGCTTGCATCTTGAGGACATTTGATCAGTCCTGTGGAATAGTGAACTCTGAAATGTGCAGATACTATACCAGCAGCAGGCACATACCTGCATCAATATGCTCCAGAGATTAATTTTAATTGAGCTTAATTAATTAGAACTAAGATGTAATGTTTTTTACCTTTTAACAATGTGACCTGGCTATGTGACACACAAGAGTTCTTAAATATCCATCTCTGTATTACTACAGGTATGCTCGTCATTTGATTGTAACATGCAGTCTGTCTTCTACTAGCTCATATTTCTGAAATTCACTCAGCATGGTTATCCCATGCTACATGACAATCAGCTATGAATACAGGCATAACATTTTTAAAACCATGTAGTTTAGATCTTTACCAGTTGTTTCTGTAATAATTTTAGATAGCGCTGATAAATTATACCTTGGGAATTTATGTTGTGTTTTGAAATATTGTGTATTCCTTTTGGAACTGAGCTGAAAATTGAGTTGAAAGTACAGTAAAAGCAAGCTATTAAAATTACCACTTAAGAATTGGTAAACATTGCCTTCCTTACAATGAGGTATGCACAGTGAATTTAGGAACACTATTATTTTCAAAAAAGAAATTTCTGATCCATTTATATATTTATGCAAATGACAAGAAGTTATTGTTGTGAAGATACAATAAAAAGATACATTACACTACCTATTAAATAAGTCAGATTTTTCATACATAAAAACAGATTATATGATTGTAGTTTTACATAGTTTTTTGTGAAAGCATAATTAAGCTATTTATGGACAAGGAAAAGCAGCAAGCATGAAAAGAATGATCTGCTGACGTCCTTTCTTAAGGTGTCCAAAAAATCCAGAGTTCTCTTTTTTACACCAGAAAATTATAAATGTACAGTACTGATACATTTACTGTATACAACCTGACCCTTGTCCTCAATGTCTCTTCTATATCTCTGTACAAGTGCTCTTGTACATTATTGTCAAATGCTTCTAATTGTCAAAGACAAAAAGATAATTGGGAACTCCAGTGAACAGCACTGAAGTCTGAGTTTTTCATTTTCTGTATGTACTGTACATACTCTCAATTTATATTATAGTTGTTGTGCTTCTCCTCAGATAAAGCATATTGCTCTAATGGATAACATGATAAAACTGTTTACCAATGGATAAACAGATTCTCTGTATTTGAGTTTGTTCATCCTAAAGATCGATTGAACAAGGGCAAGAACTAGGAATCGATCAGATTTCTTGAGACATGTAAGCTACAGAGTAAGAATGTTTATTTCTGCAGCTCACCGAAGGTCACTGGAATTACAGAATTAAGCAAAGCCTTTCAATATAGTCCTTCAGTGAACAGTATTACAGACAATGGTAAAAATGTAAAATCAGTCTGAAAAACATGAGAAAAAAGATAAGGTCAGGGAGCTAAAATTAAATATAAACCGTATATATATCTAAATCCAGTATTTATAAAATATAAAACATAGTAAAACAAAGTAAAAACAGTACAAATTAAAATCCAGGGCAAAAAATAATCCAAAAGACAAGAAGAACATGTAAGATTTTAACAGTTTGGTCACTTTAAGTGATGATGTCTGATATGAGATTCCTCTTTTCCTTCAATAGATAGATAGATACTTTATTGATCCCGTGAGGGAAATTGCAGTAGGTAGTGAAGACAGTAGAACAAGAATAGACTATACTAAAATGAAAGACATTAAAACTTTACAAAGTATATTTTAGGTCGATGGTTTATGTTTCTATTGTACAAACGTATTTATTATAAATAAAATGACAATATCCAACCTAAAACATCAAGCAGTGCAATACAGTAAGTTAAGGTTGTGTTCCTTGGCTTGACTTGTGTTCATTTCTGGTCATAAGATGAATTAAGACACACTAAGCACCACAATACTGTTTAGTGTGAGCTTGTTCTCAAGTTTCCTGTGTGTGTTAGATGTGCAGTTCCACATCGTAAATTACACATTCTCTGAAGTCAGATCATCCCTCACATAACTGCTGTGGGGCCATGAAACTCTTCATATTGTCTCTTACACTGAGTAAGTAATTTACAATTACTAACTACTCACTGTTGCTACGTGATATTTAAGCAATATAACATTTGTTGTTTGTTCTGTTTCCTTTAACATTATTATTTATTATTTATTATGCAGTGGGGTTTCACGTGTGTCCAGGGTGGTCAGGTATGTTATTTATTTTCATATTATTGTCATGAACAACAATCCTTAATCCAAGGTTTATACTGGCGGCATCATCCAAAGAACAAATCTAATAAAAGACAAAAAAATACACAATGTAGAGTATAAATATGATTGAAACATTCTTAGGAGTAAGACAACAAAGAGCACATTTTACTGTCATATGAATGCATTACCAATTGCAATGTAACATTCTTAAACATCTGATCGAGGTCTCTTTTAATTAATTAATTGATGAGAACTATTAAAAATAAATATATTTTTGCACAGCATAGAAATGCTTTGAAAGTAATTCTAAGAGATTTTTTTACTCAACCTTCCTCGTGAAATGCTTGCAATGCTGTAATAAGATTAAATACAAACATGATGACTTGGAGAATGAATTCATATCAAATCAGGTGAATTTCAGATTCTCTGGGAAAGAAAACAAGCACTGAGTGTCACTTTGTCAATAAGCTTAACATCAAGAAATGTACCACACACCTGGATGTTGTACAGTATATATTGTATTCATGGGGGACTCTCAATTTATTTTTAAACAAATTCATGACAAGAGCAAACCTTCCTCCAAGGGAAATAGATTAATTTAATCGATTAACAACACTTAATTCATGCCTTATGCCATTAAAAAAAACTTTACTTTACTTTACTTGCATGTAAACTCAGCAATGTAAGCTTACTCATCCTTAACTATACAAAGTTTTGTATTTTTTAATAAATATTAATGAAATTACATTGTCAGCACCTTTCATGCAGTGCAAAGTATATTTAAGTACTTGACTTGACCTAAATTCCTTGCTTTTAATTAAAATACTTTTTAATTGATGTGATTGTTGAATATTTTTGTAGTAACAGATCTACTTCTACAACCTCTTATTGAGCTGGACCAAGAGCAGATTGATATAGAAGACTATGCCAGAGCTCGCTGTGAATCTGACAGTGGAAGACAATGTCATTTCTACATTGATCAGAGTCCAAACCCTTTCAAATCAACACCGCACAGTTTTGGTGTCTGTCAGCTCACTGTGTATGCCAGTGAGCTGCTAGAAAACAAAACTCGTCAGGATAAAATGGAGATCTTTCTAAGCTGCACTGTTGAAACTCAAACTGGGAACCAAACAGTTATCTCAAAGCGAAGTGGAATGAAAAAACTAGAAGTATTTGGTGAGTCCTTTTTCTATTTTTAATATTGATTCAAAATAATTTTGATTAAATAGCCAGGGATTGATTGCTGAATATCTCAGACACCTCATCATAGTGCTAGAGATATTCTGCCGCAAATTCATAAGAAATACTTGTGTTACCATTCGAACCTCTAAAAATATTATTAGTTGTATTCATATTTACACGTACTGTATATAGTACAGTATTATTGATTTTCCTCAATAATAGATTAAGTTGATTGATTATATCAGCATTTTATACTCAAATATGAATGTTTCCACTTGTCTAAATGTAGTACAACAGACCCCAGAATGGAGGATAGACAGAGACAGCTTTTTCTGCCTCAAAAATAATGGACTGCTCAATCATAATTTAAGGCTTTTTCTCTGTTATGTAGATTGTTCAATATTTGCTGATTAAAAATCTTACTCATTGAATTCTGTTTTTTTTTCGGAGAGACACATTTGGTAGTCTTTCTATCGATGTGGACATGGAACATATCAAAAAAGAGACAATCATTACAGTTCGCTGTGAAACTGAGAGAGGAACACGATGCCATTTTTATACTGATGAGGGCAGAGCTCCTTTCAGAACAGTGCCCTTCAGGGAACAGTTTAAAGTCTGTCTCCTCACGGTGTCTGGATGGGAGCTGCTGGAACAGAGGGGTAAGGGGAACGCGGCCGAGGTCTTCCTGAGCTGTGCTGCTGAACTGACCACAGAGGGGCGATCAGTTTCTTCAGACCGCAGCAGAGCCATCAGGATCCAGGTGGAAAGTAAGAACCATTTTAATTTCAATTCTTTGTAACATCAAGAGTGGTGTGGAAAATCATGAGAATACTCCATTGCTTATTAAATGTGTTTCCTGAAAAGAGCATGAAATTCTAAGTTTCTTTTAATGTATTTTACATTAAAGTATATTCACATGCAGACAAGTGCAGAATGTTGTATGTACTGTATATAAAAAAACAAACAAAAATGAGACAATACTTATCTAACGAGGCTAATTCTCAAAGTAAGACTTGGTTGTTTATGCAGCCATTTACATCTTCTTGGGAACCAGAGGAAGAAATAAACTGTCGAAATATAATTAAGAGCATAGGATTTAAATCAAGGAGTATTATTTTGCTTTTGTACAATACACCAGCGAAACCCTTCCTAGAACAAGTGTAGTTGTGGCCTAATATTAATAAAAAGGTTGTTGCTCTGGAATCAGTCCATAGGGGAGGTACCATAGGTACATTTCAGGGCTTAAAGAATGTCAACGCTGACAGAACAAATT